GGCTAGCTCAGCGAGGGAGGAAATTTGGCGTGAAAAGGAATCAGCTGTGCGAAGAAGCATGTAAGCCTGTACGACTTTGGATGGTATGGAAAGAAAGAAATAGGAGAGCTTTGAGGGCAAGGAAGTTGATTTTGGTAGACTTAAGGATAGCTAGTTTCAAACTTTAGGTTTCTTGATTAAGGGTTACTCTTTTGAGGATCTTGGGAACTTTATTAACATTTTAATTAATATGTAAATATTTTGTATATAGGTTTGTACCCCTTGGTATCTGTGAATGAATATTACTATACTTTTTATTTTAAAAAAATAATATTATTAATAATACTTGCAAAAGTATTCCTTGATGCTAAAATTATTCCAACTTAAGATCTCCTTTTTTTGGATAGAAAAACATTATATCAGAAAAGGGAAGAGAATTTTAAGATCTTATTCAGCATGAAACCGATCTAAAGATTGTTTTCTCAGTGTTTCTTATTGAAATTAAATATTATATCATTTGAATAAGATAGGAAAAGACAAACCATTTGTTACATGCAACATGTGTATATTGATAGCTATGAGCAAGTCATGCTAATACATAAACAAATAAAATACTCAACTATGCAACTCAAAAGTTTATGAATAAATTTGGAACATAAATACACAAATATCCTACCTTGAGCAATTGGTGAACATTGCAAGGTAAGTAATCAATAAAGTATCATTGTATTCCTGAAAAAGTGATAAACAATAGATTGGAGCATCAAATGCAAGGAAAAGAGTATTAAGAAAGTGAACGAACAACAGTTACCATCAAAAAATCATCTTGAAACTTTTCTGATTCAATGGCTGGCAATCTTCTCAAAAGACTTGATACTTGTCTTAAGAGTGAATTCTCACAAGGAATATCACCTGAGTTTATAAATACAAATAGTACCACAATCCATCAGTTTCTGATGCTCTAAATAAAAATCTGCTTTCTTTGTTCTTATTCCACAAAGAAGCATATATACCTCCAAGCTAGAAGTCTACAGCAATGGGGCAACTCACCCAAATGCATTTCGTGCTGAAATGTAGTTATTTGGATTGTTGAAACTTGTGACCTTTTAAATGAAATTCTTACCTTAGATCAATTGAGACTAGAGCTAAAACTTAAGTTTGAATTGAAGTGGAAGGTTGAGACAAGTAGATATTTAGTTTAGATATTTTTCATCGAAGCTTAGGTTTATAACATCTTGTAACTTGTCTGTGTAACATTTTTTTTTCTTTTCTATATTTCTTATAGAGATCACTTCTTCACAGAAAAGTATTTCAGACAAATTCCACTTCCTCATTCACATTTATTAAATACCTTTCTGCATTGCAAGAAGATATTGATGAAGCACCCTGATTCTGCTATTCAGCATCTTGATGGCACTATGTATACCCGTTAGATGGGCAGCCACTGTAAATTAGTATAAACAAATTATAAACACCACAAGAAAAAGGCAGGTTTAGTTTCATTCAGTTTCTCTTTGGAGAAAACTAGTGGAACTTTAAAGATACAGAAAGAAAATTATTAAAGAGGGTAGACTAACATTGAGTTGCTGCAGAACCCCCATCTGACGGTTTAAGATGTGCAACATGATCAACTGAAATCCTTTCAGCTTCCACTGTCTGTAGAGAAATTAGAATAACAAAGTGATCAAATGACCCTGGGGAATCATTTCCTTTTAAGGAAAAAAAGGGACAAACCTCAATAGTGTAGCTTGAACAAACAAAAATAAGCTGTGGGATCCCATCTATGACATGCAGCTCTTGGGTTACGATGATCAAACACCACAAACAGAAAGTTTGTTAATCTCAGATGATTTCATAAATACCACTTTCGTAACCGGCAATCAGAAGTAACTGGCAATTAGGAGATAAACACAAAAAATACATACCACTTTCGTAAATAGTAACAGGGAGATCCTTCTGAGTGTGGTTGATTGACGGATTGAGGAGGACATAAACAGGACTTTCATTAATATCCATCAACTGTCACAAAAAACAGTCTGTTATGGTAGAGGAAGCAATTGTGAGTGAAGGCATGTACTGCTTGAGAAAAAAAACTATATAAACTGGGTCTGAAACACATTCCGTTATTTAGTTCATAAACACAGAAGTAAAGAAAGTTAGTTTCCTGTCAATGCAACAAGAACATGTTTATGGCTAGGGAGTGAAAAAGAAAATAAAAGTACAGAACCCCTGTCGAATTAGATAACTCTAATAAAAATGTATAATAATGTCGACAGTAGATTAAAAGCTAAAACAATAGAAAGATATAATATATACAGGCATTAGAAACAGAAAGAAAAAAGTTGAAGGTGAGGGTGAAGGTGAACTTACAGCTTTATGTATATGCATATCAGATTCCTGCGCATCACTTCCCGTCGAATACCATCCAAGTATATAGAAGTGAGGGAAAACCTTTTTATCTGCTCCAGACAAAAAAAAAAAAACGCAAAGCAAAGAGGAAGCAAATCAGATGGCGATTGAAAAATCTCTTATGAAAACCCCTAGAAAACGACCTTCAAAACACTGCAACAAGGGGAAGTCATTTCTTAAAAAGTAAAAATTCCAATTATCAATGTCGGATAAGAACCAAGCAGAAGCGCAGGGGTGAATGTCAATGCGTGTGCGTGTTCATTTGCGGTGAGTTATAGAAACCGTAAAAAGAGAAGAGAATAAAAGGCATACATAGCTCTTGCTTCTTTTCGAGGAAGGGGCGGTCAAGTGAGTGAGTTGAGGGATCGTACAGAAGCTCGAAGCTGTTGAAGATCTCGACGGTGCGGCCCCTCTGCATCCCAATAACGCATCCGTACACTCTGGAAGCCACGGATTGCTGTGAAGCATCACCGCCATTGCTGTCGGTGTTGCCGCTGAGCAAAGCCGGTGAATTCATCTGAGACTTCACCCTGGTATAATGATCCGATATGTTCACGATCACCAGTGGATGAAGCTTGAATGTCAGACCCGCCATCCTCGTACCTTCTTCACCCAAATTTCTCACTGCCGCTCTCAATTTTTCGCTGCTCTCTTCCCGATTCCCTTCCGGCCTTCCCTTCCCTCCTATTGACAGTCGATATACACATATATGTGTCTATGTCTGCATATAACGTTTTTTTTTGGTTATTGGACCGGGCTTCTGTTGTTTCCTTTAACTCTGGTTAGAACTCCCGTAGCCTCGCTAATGATAGGCCTCTTTCTGCTTTCATCTTCCACTTGGTCTCGCTTTTCTCAAATCAGAGCCTGGCTTACCTCCTCTTCCTCTTATTCTTCCTTCCTTTCTACTACATTTTAAATATCATAAAAAATTAGGTAATAATATTTTATCTATTAAAAAAATCATAAAAAATACAATTAATACAATTACGTAACATTAAAAATAAAAGTGTTTAAGATATTAAATATATTTTTGTACGATCAATTTTATTTTTTTAAATTTTTTTTGAAAAAACAATCAAACAACATAAAATATTTTATAAATTTAACAATAATAGTTTCTTTTTTAACATTATTTTATTTTATTTTCACATAAATTTATTATGTATTCTCTTAAAAAATTAAATTAATAAATTTGGAAATTAATTGATGAACCTTCCTCTAATATATTTTTAAAAATAAGTTTTAGATTATTTTATTTTTTAAATTTGATCCTTATGGAAAAAAGAGCCGCGTGTATATTCTGTTGCGGCCTAAAACTGTGTGAAAATAATTATGAAAATAAATTAAATGTGAGGAGCAGAAAATTGAAAGAAAAATAAGATGGGGGAGACGACAAATACTTTTTCACAGAGGAGCTCTCGCGAAATATAGCAGAAGAATCAAAAGCGTATGGAGGAGAAATAGATAACATTTATTATACAATAAGCAGA